CTGTGTTTGTAGTTTAACCTGTTTAAAAGATCAAACGGAGTAGGTGTACTAATTCTCACCAAAAGAGTATATTATAGAGTAACCTAGTAAGCTATATCGTCTTAATTCCAACTTTTGGTAGAACCTCTAAGCAACTTACATTCTTTTTACTCTTTCTTCTCTTGCGGACAAGCAACCAAACAAACAGACATTTGATTTTACACAACACTTCTTTAATTATTACGGGTATCGGCAAAATCAGCATCGGTTCAACGCGTTTTCTAACGAAGTAGATTTATTCTGAGGTCACATAGAACTACAATGGCAAAATATATGCTTGGACTTTTAATATTTTTAAAATGTAATCTAACATTTTTTTTTCATTTGTTGCTTTAGCTCTTGTTCTTATTAATATTTAATGCTTTAACTGTATTTTTAATAACCAAGCGTTGTTATCTAACCAAAACATATTCTGTTGGACTTGGAAATGGTCGAACTTGTCCACTTCTGGTGTATGGTCAAATTTCTTTCTTGAACGACAAAACCCTTGACCTTCTGTCTATCATCATTCTGAACTTATTCGAGAAGCTGGCTTGTGTTCATCGTATTTCAGTAGTATTACCAGCAGAAGACACTTCAGTTATAAGAAAAAATGATGAATAATATGAGCACAGTAGAGATCTGCACGGACAATGTTCGTAACCCTACTGAGGATGCTTGTCCATGTCCGTCCGTGAATTTTTTTCGTATATGAATCGTATATGAATAAATCGTAAATAATTTACATGCTAATTGATTAAGAAATAAGTACGTTTGACGAAAAAGAGATTAAATTACGTATCGGATTGTTTACTTGCCATGTATATGATAAGATCGCGTCAAAACGCATCTTTTCAGATGTAGTGAATTTACATGGGGAGTGCTGATTGATTTCGCAGCTGAAAATGACTAAGCATCAGTTTCAGGTAGGAAACGCATGTCGGCCTCGAAAAATAGTTTTGTTTTATCTCACAAACCAGATCGTTCAAGAAGTATTGTTTATATATAGCGAGACAATCTACGGAAGTTCTCAGCATTATAAATGTGCAATAGGAGGAGGAGAAGAAACGTATGAGTTCTTTAGCTTGGTACTGAGGTGGTTCTCTTTTCTATAAAATTCTACTGGTTGCCAAAAATACTGTGAGATGAATCTAGGCACTGTCTTAATTTAGAATTTTCTAAATCTACCGCTCATTTCAAGTTTTTCTAAGTTTGACGTTGCTAGCGGGATTCTGAAATCTCGGTTTTCGAGCACCAAGGCTTTCTCGAACATTTTTTTAAATGAATGTGCACACGTACAATAATTTAAAAAATATGCTCATAAAAAGGTAATACATTTCTCTATTAAAAACGTTTTTTCCTTAGAAAAAATAGTAATTCTGTGAGAATCTTCAACAGGTTTCTCTAAAAAGGTTAAAATCGTTATTTGTCACCATATTTCGATTTTTATTCTGTCATTGTCAAGTTTATAACAAGTAAAAAATTACATAGGCAAAATTAAAATTAAAAACTATCAAACTAAACATTTGTTTGCAGACATACATGTAAAAGTTTCATTGTAGTGATAACACGGTTAGAGAACGAGTAAAAACATGTACCTGAAATCTATTATTATTATTAGAACAATATGCAGGTATCACTCTATAAAGAACCAGTAACGCTTAGCGGTACAATCATTCTTTTTATACCATTAGGATAGACGTAAAGCGGCATAGATCTATCGATGCTCTTCATTGCCGGCTTTGTGACTCTTAAGACTAGTAATTCTTTGCTTAGTAATTAAATAATATTAATAATTTCTGTTTCTCTCTAAATAGAATTCTAAAATCATTACTATTGAGTTCATCACAGATTAGTTTTAGAATGCTTACCAACTGCTATATGTAAATTTTTTCCTGTTAAACACTTTTAATGGCTGAATAAAAGTCAGAATATCGTGTACACGTACGTACCCCGCTCCCATAATAGAAGACCACCCCTCCCCTCACCCTCACCCCTTATTAGAAGACTACTGGTCTCCTATAATGTCCGCCAAAAACATAATGTTTCGGATAATGCCCTATACCTACCTATAGGGCAATTTTCAAAAACATCTTCCAAAATGTTCTTCTAATAGGCGGATGGACTTCAAGTATGTGCGGTTACCGTTTGACTACTAAAAGGCGACAAAATTTGACCGCAATAGAAGACCACCCTTTAGAACTCGACTTGCCGAAGAAAATCGAAGACCAAGTAGTACAACTTTTCCAGCTGCCGTTCTATTAAAATTTATTTTTGTACTTTTATCCGCTAATAAAATTAAGTTTTTCGCTAAAAATCCACAGTTTTCCAGAAATCATATACAACTGCCAAGTATTATAAGTTATATTTCTTTCTTAGTCGTTTTGACATTATGGGGAAATCATATTTGCAACAGGTGAGCTCTAAATCTCAACAATACGATGTTTAGGATAGTTTGCATACATAGTCATAATCACCCCACGCACGACTCCTCCATCCCGGGCACATCTACACACAATATCCGAAATATCGATCGATACTGTGGCTTTCCACAAGCTCAATTTTTTCACTTTAAAGGAATTTGTAGCATGTTCAAATTCCACAACACATCGCCGTTTCAAACTTGCTAAAGTATATATGTGCATGGGAGAGTCAAAACCAGTCTTCGTAAGGGATATCTGCAGGGTTTTCAGAAAATCCTAATCATTCAGCTTTCCAGCTATGTTTTACGAACTTTTTAGGACTGCACCTGTAAATTCGTAATGCGGGCAATATTTACAAGTGTCTGGTAATCAATTAGAAGCATAAAGTTAAAACAGAAATTATTTAAATTCTGGGATACCAGAGCATTTTCATGCAAAATCAAGATTTTATTCGCAGTCTGCAAGAAAAACTGAGTCGAATGATGGATTATTTAAAATATTGGATCAAAATTTCGGTCTGTGGTATCGACCAAGGGCAATTCACAGCTAAAAGCCTTTATGAAAATAAGTTGAAATTTATTGAAAATGTTTTTAAATGACACATCATTCTACCCAATTTTTCATGCAGATGACAAGTACAACCTTGAATAAGAATAAAATACTTCGTAGCTACAAGAAGTACAAGAAACCAAGCTGGAAACCCTAGGTTCGATAAATATTCATAAAAATCTTAAAATACTTTTTTGTAATTTTGAGCAAAAATTTCTTCCAGATCCTAATAGGATTATTATTTTTTCTAAACAAAACGTGTTTTGGATAGAGAAAGTATGCCCTATTTGATGTGCCTATTTGTGACATAAGTGTACAAGCGCAGATTGTCTCGAAAAAAAATGCTCGGAGTACTAAAAAGTCGGTTTTCCAGAATCTCCTTACCAATGTAACGCCTGACATTTAGCCTTATATTATAAAAAATTACGGAGATCTGTGTGTTGGAAAGATTTTCATTAAATAATTCAATAAAGATTTCTTTGATTCGAAAAGTACTTCTAGCAATAATAAGCTTGTATGGCTGTGAATAATTCGTATAATTGTGAGTAATGAAGTTGATGGAAACACGGGTTTAAAGCTGCCTCACCTCGTGCACACCTGTTCTCCCAGAGGTTGCATATATCACATATTGTCACCCATAAAGTATTATTGTCTGTAGCTGCAATTATTTTAGACAAGAACAGTAGATTTAAGAACCTGTCTGCTGAATCTTACCTTTAACGGTTGATCCTGAAATGAAGGATGAATGTATTCCATTTTATACGTAAAATTTGCTTCAACTAATACAAAAAGAAAATCGAACAGATGCTGAAGAATACAAAAGAACAAAAAGTGAAGGTGTGTATTTAATGACTAAATTTTCATCTGTTATTTGTCACTTACTCGATATTGACAGGAATATATTTCGCCTACTTGTGTTATCAATTTTTCTGGCACACACACATTTCATAATCATAATTATTTTATTCATTTCAACAGGTGTGGTTCTTTTTACAATTTGTGTTAAAAAAATAAATATTTTGAAAAAAATCCAAGCTGTGTTTGAAATAAATAAATGTTACTTGACGTCTAATTTTATAAATTCTAAAGCCTGAAATATTTTCACGGTTCAGTCCTTACTACAGAATATATTTAATTACAGTAAATGAAGTCTTAATGTAGAGAAACGAATTGACAGAACTTTCCTTACATTATAAATTTTTTGAAAAAGAATTATTTTTCGATAGATTAATGACAACTAAATATTCTCTACATATTATTGGAAACCCGAACTATTTATCTTATATGATCCATCTTGCTGACAGGGTTTTTTAGCATGTCGTGCGCTAGCAAACATTAGAAATAGGACATCAACAGAGCTATTGGTTCAAGACATGTACAATGTTTGGCAATGTTAATTTGTCGATACAATTATTTCCGTAGTATTGTCGGTAAAAAAAAGAATGGACTCGGATGTTTTTTGAATAACGTTTGACATAAAAGTGACAGATGCTTGGGGTCTTCACTAATCGAAAGCTAGGACCTAACTGCATCTTTTCACACTGAAAATCATTTTCAAAATCTTTCCCTAAAGCAGGTTTTTCAGGAGTTTTTGGAAAACCAGGTTATTGCCCAAAAACTTGAAATACAAATGGTTTGATTTTTTTTCATGGATAGATAGTCCAAAGTCTCCTCTTCAAAATGGCAGTCAAGCGAGACTCTCATCTTCGATCGCTTAGGCCAGGCATCGAATTTCCTGGGAGTCCCAAAACTGGTCTTTTCTCACCCAATGGAACCTCACAAATGACTCTAGACAAGGGTTATCGACTACACTGAGTCTTATGGAACTCTCTGTTTAACCCCACTCTCTGTTAATTCTCCTTCCTAACACGACACTGTCAACATCAAATTTTCCTCTCTCCTTCTAACTGCATACTTGTACGTATACGTGCACGTGTTCTTCTTTATTTTATTTTTTATCTTTGACCTCAAATTTTAACCAAAATTAACTGAAATTTGTTAAATTTGACGATGGGTGATAACAGATACGATAATCTTACTGCAGCACAAGAAGATAATCTATGTGAGGACGATGAAAATAATTTTGAAGAAAATGAAGGTTTCCGACAACAAACAAAACACAGGCAACATAAACGACCAAACTATAATGCAAGCGATGAACGTTCGAAAATAATAACAAGTAGAACGTACACAAATTCTAACTCTAATTCTAATATAAATGAAAAACGCAATAATCAACAAGGACGAATGCAAATGAATAATAATAACAGATATAACAACAATGATCACGATCAAAATGAAAATGAACATCAAATACAAATTTCTCAGCAAGCATTGAACTATGCAGCAGAAATACATTTACAACCTATTAAATTCGAATGTAATCCTAAATTTACAGAGCAAAAATTAGCAGCCAAGTTTATTCATCTGTTTTTTAAATATATTGAAAAAGATTTTGTGAACAGAATCAAACTTTTCCAAATCCACTCGGTTTGGATCGATGGTGGATTGATAGAGATGGAAATATTCAAGGCATAAGTAAAGAAATTGAGTTGTACGTGTATCTATGTAATATTCGACGTTATCCAAATGAAATTGATAATGTTAAAATGATTCCACATCCACCTAAGCATCTTCCACCTCAACGATCTATGATTCTCAAATGGGTAAAAAATACAATTTCAAGCGATGAAGTTAAAGATGAATTAGCATCCAGATTCAAATCAATATATACACTAGAGGATATTATCGGTACTTCGAATACACGTAACAGGCACATTAAAATGGATTTGGCCGATGAAACTGAATATAATACAATGTTGAACAGTGGAAAAGTAACAATTTTTGGCCAATTACTTGACTGTGATGAATATTTACCCGCACCGAAACTGTTAATTTGTTCCAAGTGCAATCTACCGGGCCATATTAAAAAGATATGTTCAAATTCACAGGTAGAAATGTGTGTGGAAAAGACAGAAATGATGGTGAAAATCATAAGATGTGTGAAATAAAATGTTATCATTGCGGTGGAATTCATACATCTACCGATTACATATGTCCAGTCATTCAGAAATATCGTCGAGAATTGGTGCTTGAGTTACGAAGTCGTCCTGATCTTTTATCAGCACAAGCCCAGCTGTTTATTCCCTATGAATGTCGTGAGCCTGGGGAAAGAACTAGAGTGTTATAAAATAAAGCAGCTCAACACGAGCAACAATTGAAATCAATCAGCAGCAGCAACGTTCATGCATTAAATTCAATTGTTCTAATCAAAATTAATGGCCTTTATTACCTTCTTCATCATCTCCACACCCAACCATAATAAATAACAATCTGAATGAAACAATTAAATCATTAAGTGAAGAACTACGTAATTTGAAAGACAACTATGCAGCTGTACAACTGAAAATTGAAGTTAAATATAAAAATCATTTTAATTCAAGCAGTCAAAGTTGGCTAATCATGCAACAACAAATTCAGACTCAGAATGAAATGTTTTCAGCTATGAATGGCGTTATCAACTCAACTCTATTCTCTACTTGTTCATGTGTGACGGAAAGCTTAGCACAAATCGTAAACAAATTAAAAACAGAAACAAATCAAAATGACTACGACCTACTTCTTCTCGCCCTTCAACAACACCTTCTTCTCATTAACGAACAAAAAAACACCTACGTTTCCCATTAAATGAATTTAAATCAACTGATAAATAAACAACGGGCTGCACTAGACATTGCTTTGAATTCAATTATACAAAAACCGAATGGACAGTGAAGATTTTAAATATTCTGAGCCAATTGTAAATTTTAATTTAATCGAACATTTTGATGGAACTGTAAGTGAAAAGAATGAATTTTTTTCTATTTTTTGTGAGTGGAACTCTCGTTTCGCAGTGAGTGAGCTTGGTAAACAATGTAGAAAAAAAAGACCAAAGAGTGTAGTTGAGAATGCATTTTTTCTTCTTTTTAATTGTGAGGGATTAAGTACCCATTTTTGTGATCTAGATATTCTTCTCTCTTCGCATCTCCTCAGATTGTAATTCTCACGAGTGTAGGTAAACAAATCCGTGGACTGCGCCCTATCGCAGGTTATTATTGGGAGAGTAGTCCTGGTGACAACAGTTTCGGAGGAGTAGCTATTCTTCTACACCATACTCTTAAAAGTAAAGTGGTTGAGACGGCTGAAAATTTTTTAATGCTAGAAATCCAGACGACTAATGATAAGACTTTAGTGGGTGCACTGTACGTTCCTCCCAGAAGTAGACCACCTTTTTATCTCTTTGAAAAGTATTTGGATAAAAATTTTATCATTTTTGGAGACTACAACGCTAAACACGCTCAATGGTGCTGCTGCTCTACCAATAATACAAGTGGCAATCAATTAAAGGAATGGATAGAGCGTACCGGATGTGATTTAGTTCACTCTACTACTCCTACTTCGAAGAAATCCGGATCAGTAATTGATTTTGCCATTACGCAGGATTCTTCAGGATGGAGCATCGAAGTGTTGAACGAAGGTACGTCAGACCACTATCCAGTACTATTTTCATCGCCTTTTTGTTTAACAGAAAATTCTTACTTTCGAAAAACAGACTGGAAAGTTTTTTCCTTCTTTCTAAAATCTGTTTATGAGTGTTGGAACTCCATTGTGTATAACGTCGATTATAACTCTTTTTTTACCTTATTCTCTGATTTTCTTTCATCACTTTGGGATAGATGCAGCGTTTACGAGTTAACGAAAAAATTTCGACCGCCATGGCCTCGCTATCATCTTTCGCTCGCAAGAAATGTAAACAAATTGAAAAGAAAATATCGTAAAACGTTTTTTCTTAAACATTACGAGGAATATAAATATTTGAATGATGTGTATAAAACAGAAAAAAGTAAATTTGAAGAAGCACAGAGAGATAAAAAGTTAGAATTCATGAAAGCAGGAAATAATATTTGGAAGGTTGTCAACAACACTTTTAAAAAATCTTCTCCATCTTTCCGTGGTCTAAGAAGTACAACGGGAATTGAAAAAGATAGCGATAATATTGTGAATGTTTTGGCAGATTTTTATGAAAATCACTTTTCATTACCTACGCCAGATTTAAACAATACACATCATTCAAAATCCTTAGAAGAGTATACAGCTCTGTCTTATACTCCGAATATTCCTCTTGATAAAATTTCACTTGACGATGTTATTAAACAATGGAAAAAATTTAAACCTAAAAAGAGTCTGAATAGTACAAACACTTCAGCCTTCCTCTTGAAGAATCTCCCGCCTGAATATTTTAATATTGTCACAGTTGTCTTTAATAAGTGCACAAGCAATGGAGACTTCTTTGAGCGAGCTAAGAGGGCAAAAGGAATATGTCTGTCCAAAGATGGAATTTATCCCTGCGGACAAATTACGATCAATATCCCTGCTACCGAACTTAGGCAAATAGTTTGAGAGAATCATAGCAGAGAGAATCACGAAGTGGTGCTTAGATAGTGGGGTAAATATAGATGAACAGTCCGGTTTTACGAGTAATCGAAGGCTCCAAACTCGTATTCTCTCTCTAGCTGAGAATCTCTTTTCTCACAGCGTTCGACCGTATGTGGTATCTAGCACTAATGAAAACACTTGAAGAACTAAATATGCCTCTGCAACTTCGCCGATGGATTTTTGGTTGGTTACAAAATCGTTCAATGACCATCTCACACGGAGATGCATCACGAATCTTCAGGATTTTTGTTGGTGCACCCCAAGGTTCAGTTTTAGCAGCCTTATTGTTTCGTCTCCATATTCACTTTCTGCCCTATTACTTCGCTCAAATAATGTCTCACTTATTTGCCGATGATCTCACTATGGTCATAAAAGGAGCACTTGAAATGAGGCTGTCTGATAATATTAAATTTTTACAAAGACAGGCAAAATCAGTTCTGAAAGGCTTAGAAAAGTTTGCAGACGATCACATACTGCCTGTGAACGTAGCAAAAACAAAAACAATGCTCGTTCACAGTGCAGTAGATACTTCAGAACCAAAAATTAGATATAAGGCAATTCCCATAGAATATGTAAATTCTTTCAAGTTTTTGGGAGTAGAAATCGGAACAAAATTAGGTTGGGGAAATTTCATAAAAAACCGATTAAAAAAAGTGAGGAACATTTATTCAGGATCGAGAAAAATCTTTAAACCAATACCTAAAACCGAAACTAAACTTCGCCGCAAACTTTTCTGTGCATACGCCTTACCTCACTTCATCTGGCTGTTTGCTACTTGGTTTCTTTATACTGAAAGGCAGCAAGCAGAGATTGAGCACGTCTACTGTTCAGGTCTAAGAATTATCTACAATCTCGGCCGCTGGGAGGATCACATTACTCTCGCTATCGCTAGAGAATTATCTTTAGGTGATTACATTTTAAGGTATTGGATTAAATTTTCTAAACATCTCGAAGAATCTCTCGAAGGAGTAACGTATCAACAAACATTTACAGCTTTTCTCATTGCTACTTCTCCAACCAAAATTTATTGTAAAAGTTGTGGTTTTCGGAAAAATTCAAAATTTCCTAATAGACTTGCAGAGAGGGCTCAACATACGAAATTGGATTACTTATCTTTTGAGAATATACAAAAAAAGCAATATAAAATCTTCAAAAAATCTTCTAGTGTCCTAGAGTGGGCAGTTTTAAAGTTCTTTCCACGTTCACCTTAGTTTTTATACACAACTTCCTAAAAACCTGCAATGTATCTGTTATCACTTTTCTTCTCATTTTTTATCTATTTGTTTATATGTTTATTTTTGAGCATTTTTCGGTTCTAATTAATAAAGAGGAATTCCATCTTACTATTAACAAAGTTATAAGCCTTAATTGCAAATTCTGGAATTATTTAAATTGTTTTTAGTTTAAGTTCACTATGTTATTATTTTTGTTAACCTTTTAAGGAACAATAAAGATTTTCAATGTCAAAAAAAAATTTGTCGATACAATTATTTCCGTAGTATTGTCGGTAAAAAAAAGAACGGACTCGGATGTTTTTTGAATAACGTTTGACAGAAAAGCGACAGATGCTTGGGGTCTTCACTAATCGAAAGCTAGGACCTAACTGCATCTTTTCACACTGAAAATCATTTTCAAAATCTTTCCCTAAAGCAGATTTTTCGGGAAGTCTTTGGAAAACCAGGTTATTGCCCAAAAACTTGAAATACAAATGGTTTGATTTTTTTTCATGGATAGATAGTCCAAAGTCTCCTCTTCAAAATGGCAGTCAAGCGAGACTCTCATCTTCGATTGCTTAGGCCAGGCATCGAATTTCCTGGGAGTCCCAAAACTGGTCTTTTCTCACCCATGGGAACCTCACAAATGACTCTAGACAAGGGTTATCGACTACACTGAGTCTTATGGCACTCTCTGTTCAACGCTTTAAGAACGTTTTTACATATGAATTTTCGGAACCCGTACTGAGCCTAAGCTGTTATAACTACTGGGGCTCGTCGAGTTCTATGTGGCACACTTATTTCTAAAGATCACACAGCTTTAATAAAAAACGTTAGGCGGAAATATTGAAATCTGCTGCGAACTTCCATTACGTGAACTTGTAACTAATGTTTGTATCAGTTTGTAGTGTCGACAGTGCTTTAGAAGCTGATGATATTCATATGTCTTAGTGCTCAAAAAGACACCTATAATCCCACTGAGCTGTGCGAAGAGGTCAGCGCAGACTATGAGAAACAATAATCGGTGAATCTCCTCTGCGAGGCTAGATATGTCAATTATGCTTACTACTTTAGCATTTCAGATGGAACCGGAAAATCCATAGAGAATAGGTTACCTTAATTCTTCTACTACAACGTCTTATAGAAACATGACCCTATGTATATACAGTCGAGAAAGATATGTAAGATACAATATAAAAGATAATGTAATAGAAAAACATGATGTAAATAGAGAAGGAAATAACTAACTGTCAAGTAAATGACGAAAAAATGACATGCGTAAACGAAGAATGGCATGTCAGAAAACACTTGCACAAATTCTGCTACCTGCTGGATGGATCAATTCAAAAGATTTCAGGGAGTACAGCATGAACTTTAAAAAATTTTCACCGGCAGCGATAAAAGTTTCAGGGCATGTCGGCGGCGGCGCACATCTCTACATGTGCATGATTTTCGATATTCTGACACCTCTGCCGATCACAGGGTTTTAATGTAACATGTTTCTCTCGCAAAACGCCTGAGAAAAAATGCATTATCATACCGTCACATCAAAATAAATAACTTACATTAGCGCCATTGACTATTTTGGTTATGAGATGCATGCGATATAGCTCGTGTTCGTATCACAAGGATTTTTTCATATGATGCGCATCACCGTCAAGTTTTTATTGATATGAAAAAAGCCTACAAATATTGTTCAAAGGTATCACCTTGGATAGAAATACAAAAATCCATTCTTTTGCGGATTTCCGAAAAAACATTGCGCAATGTTTCTGTTTTTATCGCTTTGATTTCCCGAGTTATTCTCGTCTTTAAATCATCAATATCTTGCACTCTCGTTTTATAAATGTTCGTTTTGACATGACCCCATAGAAGACTATCCAAGAACTGCATTTGAAAGATGTGCTTTTAACTACATCTTTTAATAAATTATAGCGCTGGTTAGTTGTTGGTTACAAAAGTGTTTCAATATTCTTCTGGATGATAGCGAACAATTTATGCTAGATATGTTATTTCAGTAAAACGATATGTCGATCAATTTACAGTTACGAATTCAGATCGTAGTATTGATGCCTAAGTTAGAGTCTACCACAGCCGTCAGGGGACATTTATAGCGGGAAAATGTGTCTGATATTCCTTCGGAGAATACTATGAGAAGTCTTTATGCAAAATTTCTTGTAACTGGTTCGGTGCATGATCGGGAACGGTCAGAAGGCCGCCATCAGCAACTGCAGCGAAACAGGATCAAATCGTTGAAGTTTTGACAAACCAGCCTATGAACAGTATTCGTGCCGTTTCCCAAGAAGTAAATATGTCGAAATCGGTTGTTCATCGTATAATGCGTCAGATATTGGGATACAAGCCGTACAAGATGCATTTAACACAACAAATCTACGACGAAGATAAAGATTTACGTGTGGAAATGGCTGAAATTCTCTTGCCTATTCTTGATACCCAAGACTATGATGGTGTGATTTTCTTTTCGGACAAAGCAGCCTTTCATGTTTCTGGAGCTGTCCATAAACATAACTGTCGAATATGGTCCGAAAGTAATCCATATGCTACTTTTGAAGTTGCATTGAAGTCACCAAAAGTTATGGTTTGGTGCGCGATGTCAAACCAGCAGATCATTGGTCCGTTCTTTTTTGATGAGAAGACGGTGGATCAAGATAATTAGCTTGACATGCTTGAAGGATATTTCTATCCGATCTTACAACAGAAACGGATGACAAAAGAGGTAATTTTCCAACAAGGTGATGCCCCGGCACATTTCTCAAAGGCAGTTCGTTCGTGGGTCAACAACAAGTTTACTAGTCGATGGATTCTGTTTTTATCGCTTTGATTTCCCGAGTTATTCTCGTCTTTAAATCATCAATATTTTGCACTCTCGTTTTATAAATGTTCGTTTTGACATGATCCCAAAAAAGAAATCCAACCGGGAGAGGTCTGGTGATCTCGGAGCCCACGAAATGGGTCCACCTCTTCCAACCCATCCACTAGGAAACTTGTTGTTGAGCCACGAACGAACTGCCTTTGAGAAATGGAAAATTACCTCTTTTGTCATCCGTTTCTGTTGTAAGATCGGATAGAAATATCCTTCAAGCATGTCAAGCT